GGCGGGCTGCCGCCGCCGCCGGGGCCTGATGGCGGGGGCAACGGGTACCCTGGCGCGCCCCCGATGCCGCCTCAGGACTACTATCAGCGGCAATGAGGCGGAGCTACTCTCTGTACGGCGCCACATGAGGCTTCAGGTAGGCCTGTTTGCCTGCCGTGGCGGGCGGAATTGGTCGATGCTGCCAGGCCCAGGCGCGCTTCGCACGCCCCAGCGGCAGCGGCAGCTGCCCACTGTCAAAAACAAAGAAGCTGACTCGCGGGCACATGCGCACCTGCCTCCGCGCAGCTGCGCAGGCGGCAGGGTCAGGGACGCGTTCAGGCAGCTCGGGGGCGGCCAAGCGCCGCGTGGCGCAATTTTGCAGGGGGCTTCCTGGCCAGAAGGCCTGCAGCTAAAAATCCTTGCTCGGGGAATTGGCAGCGCTTCTTGGGGTGGGCGCCTCGCGTTCTTGCAGCAGGGGTTGCTGGCTCGCTGCTCGCCCTCCTTGTCCCCTAGGACCCTGGCACGATGACGAAGCAGCACGCGTGAGCGATGCAGCATCGCCCTGCCCCGTCGCTCAATCGCGCTCACAATATCCTTCCAACAGCTGGATGGAACAAACCTATTCAAGAGGCCCACGCAGCTGCGCCACTTCGTCTTTCGAAACAAAGGGGTGCAGCGGTTTGGCCTTCCATCGCCGCAGGGGCTAGGGACCCCCCATGCACCGCAGGCACATCGCTTCAACACGCCCCATGCCACTCAAAACAGGTTGCAACCCGGGGCTGCGGGCAGCAGGCCAACAGTGCGTCGTGCCCGGCCGGCCTCAACGGCCCCAACCGCAGGGCATCGCAGGGGCTGGCGGCGGCGCCGGCGGCGGCGTTGGTGGTGTTTGGTACCTGCCTAGCTCGCATCGCAGCCGCAGGAGCTCGCCACGTCGCAGCCGCAGGAGCGCAGGGGAGAGCACGCGACGGCGCCAACAGAATGCTGGGGCGGCCTCCTGCTCGCACGCAGGTCGCAGGTGGCTTGCAGAGGCCTCATGGCGGCGCGTCGCAATTTTCACAGGGCTGTTACATCTCAGCCTTTTCGACGTGGTTCAAGCAGCTGGCGTTTGTCTGTTTGGCTTCAAGCCTTGTTATGTGCCCGCCCGTTCTGGCTTGGGCGTTGTAACCTGCTTTTGCTGGCTTTGGGGCCCACTTTGCAACGGTGCAAGGCAGCAGGCCCATCACCCATGTTTGCTGACGATCGGCACACGGCGGCATCAAACCTGTCAGCATCGCTGTGGGATTTCAAAGTTTTTGAAACAGCGGCTTGCCCTTCAACCAGAGCGCATGCACAGTTGTCTGCATATCATGCGCAAAATCAGGGCTCAACAAGAATTGGGGGTTGCCGCCGCACGCCTCAGCATGCGGGGCCGCAGGGGCGACGAGCACCAAAACGCTACCCTACTTGCGAAGAGTGTGCCCAGCAAGCCGGGCGGGCACGCCGCTGCTGCGGCTCGCGGCTGCGGAGCAGTGGCGCCCAGCAGAGACGTGCGTGCTCCGCGCGCGGTGGCAGCCCGGTGCGATTTGACAGCTTGCGGGGGGCGCCCCTTCGAGGGAGCCGACCAGGGTTGCACAGATACCCAGCAGGCACCCATGACCGGAGGCCCCCCAGCACCAGGGGGCCACCCCAGCACACACCATCGCCGCCGCAGCCGCGCGTGCACGGCCGTACATTACGCTGGGGCACAGACAGCCCTCCAACAAGCACCGCCCGCCACACTCGTGCCGCGCCTCGGGTGTCTCCCACCGCCCCAGGATGCCGCCTGGGACCCTCCGAAACTGCACACCTGCCGCGTCAGGCATTGTTGTGGCGCGGCTGGAAGACCCGGTGATTCTGGCGCCGCTTGGCGGAGCGGTCCAGTGGCGGCCGCTCAACGCGCGGCGCGCGCTTGCCGGCGGCCGCCGCGGCCTGGCGCTGCTCGGCCATTGCGGGGACGCGGCGCTCGGCCGAGCGCGCGGCGGCGCGCTGCTCCTCAGCCTGCGGGCGCGGGCGGGCAGCCAGGGTGGGCGCGTCGGCGGCGACAGGCGCGCGACAAGCAGGGCATCTGGCCGCCGCGAGGCGTCAATGCGGCACCCACCGACTCAGACACGGCCCAACGCATGTTCAACAGCGGCAACCACGCGCGTGGCCGACCCGACCACTGCTTTGCCACCCCCTTCCCCCCCATGTGCACACATGCGCATGTGCGTGCGCGCACCTGCAGCTGCCTCACGGCGTCAAACAACTCCTTGTCGTCCCCCGGACGCACCCCCAGGTGCGCGTTGCCGGCACTGTCCATGTAGAGCGTCGGCGCCTCGCCCCCCGCGCCTGCGACCGCCGCCGCCGCGCCCCCCGCGAGCCGCGCGCGCGCGGCGCCCTGCACGGACGCGAGCGCGGCGGAGGCGGTGGCGGCGACGCTGCCGAGCCAGGGGCCGAGGGCCCAGCTGGAGGCGGGGGCGCTGGCACCCTTGGGCTGGGTCCTTTTGAGGGAGTGGGTGCGTGACGTGGATAAGGGGGGCGCATGCGCAAGGTGGGTAGACGTGCTCAAGCAGGGGAAGGGGCCGAGGGACAAGCCGAGGCGTCGGTGGAGGCGGCGCCAGAAGCAGGAATGGTAGGCGTGCCGGCCGGGAGGCTCGCGAGCACGCGTGTATGGGCGGGGGCGCGCGCGGCCCGCTTGGGTGCATGTGACGGGTGTCCCCGGACGCCCCAAGTGCGCTGCGGCCTGCGCATGCGCGCGTGGGGCGCGCGCCGCTCGCTCACTTGGCGGCAGACCGCGCCATCATGCGCGCGCGGATCGTGCGCGGCAGGCTGGATAGGGAGTTCCAAGAGGCCGCGGGCGCCGCCCGGGCGGCGGGCTTCTTGGCGGCCGCAGCCTTGGCGAGCGCGGGCGCCACTGCGGTCTTGTTCTGGGCGTCGGCGAGGCGCGAGCGCGGCAGCGCCAGGATGGATGGCTGTCAAGGGGTTTTCAACTTATTTGTATGGTGTTTATGCATGAGTGGCTTCGTGTCCTAGGTACAGTACTTTCGGGCAAACGATCCGGGATGGGCCCACCTTGCTCTTGCCCTTGGCCTTGGGCTGCGCGGCCGACCCCTTCCCGACATTTACGAGCACCATTGTAGCAATATGGTGTCGATGTTGGTCAGGCCTGTGGTCACAGCGAGCCACAGCTGGTGACGTGGACTGTGGTCCTGGGTTGAAAGAGGATACGGTAAGTAGCTTGAACTGTTGCAGTCGTGCAGTGGATCACGTTCAAGGTGGATCGGGACACCAGCACGAAAAGCGAGCCTCTGTGCACGGATCTGGCCGCTTCGTTGCTCCTTGCGGGTTGCGGCGACGATCGAATTAAAAAAATACATTCCGTGAAAACATTTGCACGATTCAATGTATAGCATCCAGACTTGAGCCATGCAGCTGCAAAGGCTCTCGTGCGCTGTTTTTCATCTGGGACACTGCGCCCGCGCGACCAGGCCAGCGCCGCTCGCGCTGGCCTCGTCGCCGTCCACATCGCGCCCTTCCGCCGTTGCACCCTCAGCCGCGGCCGCCAATGGCTGATTCCTGACGCAGACTGGCTGCCTACCATGTGGTACGGGGCCCAACACATGTACTAGTGCCTGATACTGCGTGGCAATGAAGCTGCCTGCCTGCAGAAACATCTAGAAATCAACCCAAATTATAAAAGGACAATTCCAATGGGGCGTTTACTGCACAGAGCCTCGGGTGACAAGGCGCTGCAACGCGGGGCGTTACGGCTGCCGCTCTGCGGGAATCTCGATCATGTGCCCGGCGGGTGCGCGGCTGCTCAGCTCCGCCGGATCCTGAGGCCCTGCACGAACCAGCACGAGAGCCCTGAATGAGCGACCAGCGGGTTGCAAAAGCGAGGATCTTCAGAATTGGGGAGAGGATGGTTTGAAAATCCCCCAGCCAACGCGCTTTGAGATCAACCAGGCTCGATAGGCAGCGCGCAAGGACGCTGCAGGCGCGAAGCGATGGCCCGGCAAGTGGTGCGGGCCTTGCTGCCCTGCGGCCCAGAAAGGTGCTCCGCACACGCACGTCCAAAGCGTGCCCCACCACGCACAAACACACGGGCACACCGCCAGCGGGAGCGCGCAAGCAGTGCTGGGTCCACGCAATCGCCGTGATTTGCGGCCCCGGGCATGAGCCCCGGCGGCGCGCAGCGCGATGCCCTCATTGCCAACCCACCTGCAGGAGAACGCCCCTCGGGGCAGCCTTCAAGCACCTGGCCAGCAGTGTACTTGCGATCTCCAAATATTTGACGTCTTCAACTAAATAGGATCAGCTGCCGTCCCGCGCCCAGCCCGCTTGTGTCGACGAGACCTTGAGATGACGCGCGGGGGCGGCGCCGACGCGACAGCTGCCTCGTCTGTCGCACTGACGCGCGGCCGCCTCGTCCGGCGGCGGCGCACCGCGGCCCGGGATGCTGGGATACCCCGCGCCGCACTGCAGGGGCGCAGCGGCGCGGGCCCAGTCCACCCCGGTCGCCCCTCGCCTGTCGGCCGACTCCTCAGCCGCACCGTGCACCGGAGTGCACGGGCGACCGGCTCGCAGGCCGTGTGCTCGGCAACGCGTGTTGCCGGTTGGCAGAGGGACCAAACCCACCACGGGGGCTGGGGGAGGGGGGCGGCCCGCTGACCTGCCGCTGCCGCTGGGGGGCCGCCCGCGCCCTCCCCCTGTGCCTCAGCTCACCGAGTGCCCGTGTGCAGCTGCTGAGTCCAGGTCCGCACACAAATGAGCCGCCCCGCGGGTGTTCTGCTGGATCAGCAGGGGGTGACGAGCCTGCGGGAGGGGGGGCGTGTGCGCTGGCACGCGAGCGGGGGTCAGGGCGGACGGGAGCGCGCGCCCTGGGGACTTGGCGATGGCGGTCTTGAGGGAGGCGGACTTGACCAGCTCCTCTTGAAACATCGACTCACTTGACGCTGGGGGTGGAAGTGGCGGTGGGTGGGGGTGTTGGGGCCGCGTGATGTGTGGGTGCAGACGTGCAAGCGGCTTTGCGGTGGTGGGGCGGACAGCGTCTGACCGCAGGCTTCTTCTCCCAAAATCCCCCCCCCCCCCAAGATATGATCAGGATCTGCAAAATTGAAACACTCATCTCACTGGGGCGCGCACTCATGCGTGCGCACACACACACACACACACACACACACACACACACACACACACACACACACACACACAAAAACACACACACACCGCTGATCGCCAGCCCCCCCGCCTTCTCTCCATCCCAACACCCAGCGAGCCCCTCACCTGACGCGAGCCCCTCGTTGGCGGTTGACCCGGCCCCAGCCGTCTCGTGTCGACGAGACCTTGAGATGACGCGCCGGGGCGGCGCCGACACCGGTAACAGCTGCCTCGTCTGTCGCACTGACGCGCGGCCGCCTCGTCCGGCGGCGGCGCACCGCGGCCCGGGATGCTGGGATACCCCGCGCCGCACTGCAGGGGCGCAGCGGCGCGGGCCCAGTCCACCCCGGTCGCCCCTCGCCTGTCGGCCGGCTCCTCAGCCGCACCGTGCACCGGAGTGTACGGGCGACCGCCTCGCAGGCCGTGTGCTCGGCAACGCGTGTTGCCGGTTGGCAGAGGGACCAAACCC